TACTACTAACTACTACTAACTACTACTAACTACTACTAACTACTACTAACTACTACTAACTACTACTAACTACTACTAACTACTACTAACTACTACTAACTACTACAACTACAACTACTACTACGACTACGACTACGACTACCACTACCACTACCACCACTAGCACTACCACTACCACTACGACTACCACTACTACTACTACTACTACTACTACTACTAATAGTACTTTCTCGAGGGTTTCCTGAAAGATTTGGAAGACTGCATGCCATCTCCTGCACTCACCATTGTAGTGTCTACGTTGGAGCCGAGAAGCGCGCAGGTGGAGACGTCTTCTGGGGACTGTAGGAGCTGACCAAAGCTACCTGTGAGCCAAGGCGATACGTAGCTGTTGGACTGCAGGAATGTTGAAGAGCTTCATCAAAAGATGAACGGGACCCCATGGGCCATAGGGGACATCTCAACCAGCAGGCTAAAAAGTGTGGTGGCCGGCTGAACAAAGGGAAAATAAACAAACCACTTGTGCGTGATGTGAATTGGATCAATGATATCCCTCTTTGTCCTCATTATGATCCCTTCATCGTGCAGGTCAAGGACGTGCTCTTTTGCACGCCTCACCCCAAACATCATGTGCTATTTCATCTGTGTCATGCTTCAGGTGATCGTCCGTCATGTCTGTCCGTGCCCAAAAAAAAAACGAAGCGCTCTGAATCCTTTGGGTGGAGGATCCGGTCCAGGGGGTTGCAGATGAGTCTTCAGACTTTAGGCACCACCGCCAACCACGGGTCCCGCCTACTTCAGCTGGGAGGTCAATCTCCAGCGTGGATGGGTCTAGCTGTGGCAAGCCCGGTGCAAGCACCAACCTGGCACGGCATCGCTCAGGATCTATACGCAAGTACTTACTGTGGTGGTCCAAACAACGGACGGATCTGCATGGTCTGGGCTTCTCTCGGATTAGTTAGATCGAGAAAAGTGGAGGCTCCAAGCAGGCCAGGCTCACGCGTCCACTCTCAAATCCCACAGCCGATCAGAGCCTCTGCTCGTGACGAACGCTGATATCGCTTAATTGATGTCGCTGGTCATAAGAGCAGCAGGAATCGACTTGCGTGAAACGTACCTGGGACGTCTTGACAGTCGCTTTGCCACACAAAGAGGTGTAGTTTTGGCTTATACCCACCAGGATGTTAAAATTGTAAGTTTCCACCCACCTAAAACAACAATCTATATCTCTAGAATCTCATATAATTTAATAATTATAACTATACCAGTAGGCTCCAACAGGTCACTCCTTTTTGAGGGTTGTTGGGTTCATGATCTCAGCTGGTGACCTGTCGGAGGCAGGTCCGGTTTCCAGCATCAGTGTAGCACCTGCGCAACTGCGACCCCGGCTGAAGGAGGAGGCCGGATGTAGGGTGCCTGCCAAGGCGGATGATCGCTGGTTCCAGCGGAAGAAGCGTCCAGGTCTGGCTGTGGATGAAACGAAGAACACTGGGACATCTGCAAATGTCTAGATCTCCTGCTTGAGCACGTTTGGTGTTCATTGGGTGGTGAATGAACAACGTGTGGGGTGTTGGGAGGAATGTAGTCTGGGGTTGGGCATGATGGAATTTGACCAATGATCCATCTCAGACAATCCAAACTCACGCGGTTCCGCGTTCCGCCTGCACTGATGTCAAGGTAGCGCTTGGTGTTCCCGGACAAGCTGAAGTTCACCCAAAAAACCTCAGCAGTCCGCGCGCGAGGCGCGGAGCTGACCAGTCACGAAATCCGTCTAGATCACGTCGATCCATAATTAGGTTGATTGTGGATTCCATAGCGCCCAAGCCTGCAGAAGATCACACAACTTGGACACAACTTCCTGGTAGGTGACTGGGTCGTAACCCCCTCCCTATCTTAGGAACTTCCATGATCGGAATCGGCTATTTCCGTGCACCTTCCCGGTGCAGATCTTGAACCGGGGACGAAGCGAAGTGCCAGGTCGGACCAAAAACATCGGAAAAACCATGTGATCGTCATGCCAAAAACATGCCAAAAACCAAGCAAATCAAACATAACCACCATGTTCCCCACCATGCTCCCCCTTTGAGCCCCTGCCCACCCATCCACCCTCCCGGCCGTCAATCAAAACGCCTTTGACGCCTTGACTGCGGTCACAGGTGCCGGTGCGTCACAGGTGACGATCCGATGGGCGCCCCAATAGTCCTCCAGGTCCGGGACCTCTGGCGCCAGGGTCGCTTCCCCCCCTCACACATCCGGGTGCGGATCCGGGCGCCAGCCAGGACCCTGGCCTGCAGTCGTTTCATATATGGCGTTTCCAAGACTCCCATCCTCATGCCACTCACCATAAAGCAAAGCATGACCATTTGCAACACGGATATATTTTTTCATATAGCATACTTAAGTTCTATTGCTCTGGTTGCCACAATGATTCCCTTCAGGACCTTCGCTCGATCTCTTCTTTTCCACACGTCTCACGCCACGCCGCGGCGAAGCGCTGACAAAGCATCGCCTGCAAGGCATCGCTGGGATGGGCAAAGCGTTGTCCGCAGCTGACGCCATTCACCATCGGCCTCTGCAGGCCGTCACGTGGAAGGCGTCGGATGTGGACCGGCGGAGGGAGGCCATACATATATAGTCTATAGATGAGAGACCCGAAGATGGGTGGAAGTATGGTGAGATGGAAAATAGCGAAAGCTCGTAGCAATTCTTGGTGAAATCCCTTTGTGTTTCACTATACTTCCGTTCGACTTCGATTTGCTTTAATTTCGGTAAAAGGCTTACATCGCCCATCACCGGGGCTTCGCCCAGGGGAACATCCACACATCGCCCGACTCATGGCCGCCGAAGATGTCAGGTGGTCGCGTCCTGGACGTTTTTCGGGGGCTGTGGGCACGACCGGTTTCACGGGTCACACGGGTGAGTCCCACTTCAGCGTGGGAAACGGAGTCTCCATGAAGCACCGCACCGCTCCACGCTGCCGGTGCCCGCTCTCCCCACATCGCCCCGCCAGAGGGCGAAGATGGGCGAAGCGAGTAACTGTGGACCCCAATATCCCCAATCACTGAAGGTCTTTCTGATTCTGAATGATGTAGACTCGACTGAGGACCATACACTCCCCATATAGGATGTTCAATTCATATGGCTGGGGTGATCAATCAAGAGTCTATATTACATGGAAAGAGCGAGCATCTCCAGCGAATTTCTGTGCCCATCTATGGCGCCAAAGTGCAGAGCTTCTTTTGGGGCATGTGCCAGGGGGGAATGCTAATTAATTAGATTTAGTTAGCAGCCAGTCAGTCTACAGCAGTTATGTGTTTTCCGATCTCGGATCCAAATCGAACACGAACATTTGGAAACACACGCAGGAGAGGGCGGTGAGGGTATATATATTTGTTTCAAGATGTTTCAAGTATCAGTCCTGCAAGGCTTTGGAACGGAGCATCTGCTTCCATCGTTCCGTGACTGAACGACCCCCACATCGTTCCAGGAGGGTCCTTTCGTTGCGTGACCGCGGAGAGGTCCCAGCGCCGTGACACGCAGCTGTTTCTCCCACGCAAGCGAGGACGGATCCGGATCCCGCGCGAGCTCTCGCCACGCACGAGTGGGTCAAAGTCCTGCAGGGGCGGAGGGGACGGGCGGTGCGACAGCAGGGATCCACTGCGTCCGCAAGTCTTAGTGCCAAATGAGTCTGGTCGGCATGTGTTTTCTTGTCGTTCTTTGAACTTGATGAAGAAACTGAACAACACCCCGAGACTCCATGTATGCCATATATATATATTATGTCTACATTGACCCCTCAAACCACCTCAATGTAGGTAAATATAATTACCATACATGGAGTGTCTGGGACATGCAATTACGATGATCCATGTCCAAGAGTTCACACCGATTCATGCCAGTCATTCATCCTCAGGAAAGCATAAGAGGAGATCTTCACAGATTTCACACCGGGGCCCGTCATCCCCTGTCCGTCCCTCGTCCTGCCGCAGGCAACGCGGCATTCTTGTCACTGGACGTGATCACTGCAGAGAGCGTGGCCAAGATCTAGCACAAGGAGATGCTTGTTTCAACAAACCCAGAAACGAGCATGCAAGGCATTGCCGAAACAGGCATACGGCGGATGTTCTCATGTTCGCTCACAAGGTCAATAAGTACTGACTGGTGCGACTCGCAGGGAATGAGGGTGGCTGGATCCAATAGAATCTCTATTGGGGGCTCATTCCCTTATTCCCTACGAGTCGCACCAGTCAGATTACCAGCTTTCTGACCATGCAGCTGGATTCATAGTCTTTGCGATGTGGCCCCGTGAGGGGCCCCCGTGAGGGGAAGGATTCAACCCGGTATGGGTTCATACTGAACCTCATTGAGGGCTCAACCAATACAACCCTGGAAACCGGGCATGGCTTCCTTACGGATGTTGAATATGGACCTTCGAAATGGCCTGGGCTCAATGAACCCGATCCATAGAATGCCAGTGGAGCCTGAGCTGGAAGCTGTCTTTTTGTGTAAACAACCAACTGGACAAAAAAGACCTCAAATGAAAAAAAATGTTAACAATTGTCTAAAGAACACTTGCAGTGCTCACACTGTATGAAAGTCCAAATCGTGTTGAGTGACCGTTTCACATGTGTTTCACATGGAAGTGGACCCCCCTGTTTCTAAAGGAATGTAGTCTTCCAAGGGACCATTGTCCACTTCCATGTTAGTGAAGCCAGACTGTATTTATGCTGAAGTCTGAAGTCTTCCCAAAGGTACCATGGATCTGCCGAAAAAGGCGCCGTCCACGCCCCAACCAGGGCCTGGTCCTCGTAACGGATTGTGCCCGAGGCCACATTCCCCACGGGGCCTTGGTAGCCAGCTGCTGAGGAGGGGCTGAAATTGCTCGCTTCGGGGTGAGACATGTGGATCGATTCCCCTCCAGGGCTCCTGTCCCACATCCAAAAAGGTTCGGTGGTTGGGGATTGGGGTGGGGGTGGTTGGAAGGTCTGTCCCTACCTGGTGAGTGACAGGGACTTATTGGGGAGGCATTTAGATCAGGCCACAGTGGAGGTAGCTTTGGCAGGTCGACTTCAAGATCTTCAAGGTGCTTTGGGCTGACATCATGTCTGAATAATTGATTATTCAAAACATCATGTTGGAAGGAATTCCCATACGAGCCACAAAAACCACATTCCTTATATTACATCATATATAACACATATCCAGCGTCAAAACGAGTCATTTTCCCCCGGTTCTTCACAACGGCACCCACCCGGTCCCGCTGAGTCTGCCGACCGGTCTGGGCGAAGGGACAGAAGCACTCAAAGCTCAGTTCCTGTTGTCAATCAAATGACACGTGTGCAGGTCACGGATGGACCGGGAAAGAAGGAACCATGTGGGAAGGAAGGGTTTGGGTTTGGAATGAACCACCCAAGCAGGTGTTGTTTCTATGTGTTTAATCTTGAATTGCACCAGCCAGTCGGCGCCAACACCTCAGCTCTGTCCAAGCGAAGCTCCAAGAGAAGTTAAGTGGCCTCATGGACTCTACCAGGGGTACCTATGGGATACTGTAGGGTTCTTCCATCGATCCTGCTCCACGTCGCACGTTCTTGGTGTTCCTTCAACGTGACCGGCCACTGGATATCCAAACAACAAGGAGGTCAGGTTGAAGGACAGCTGGTTTGGTCAATTCCTTCCAGCATCGGAGACCTAGGCCGATCGCGACTCCCAAAGGCCTGTTCTCATCGGCTTCGCGACGAAGAAAGTCGCCTGGCCAATGGGCAGCAAGCCGTGGGCTTCCATCTCCAACTTCCAAGTGATCGAGGTCTTCTCCTCAGTTCACACAACTTGGATGTTGCTTTAGGAACAGGGTCGATGGAAACACATTAAAATATATCATAAATTATATACAGAATATTCCCCAGAAAGGGGATTTGATTTCCCCATAGGAAAAGTACAAGATCACCTTAAGCAAAATCAGGATCAGGAGTTGAGGAGTTGGACATAAATCAATAAATTCACCAGAGCGATCGAAATGTCCTGTTTTCTGTCTTTCGTGGTCATGATCGATATCATGGATATCTCTGGAATTCAATGGAATTCGCAGAGATGCCTTACGGTTGCCTTACGAAGACCCTGGGAGGCCTTCCGGAAGTGATCATGAAACGAGTTCGGTTGAGCCTACTTTTGTCAAATCCTTAGCAAGGCAATGGTTCTTTGGGATTCTGGCTACGGATCCCGTTTGGGCTCCAGTCGTACCTTCTAAGAAGGTGGGACTGAGGTGGGGTTTGGAGGGTCCGGTGTCATACCGAACCTGAGGAGGTACGACTGGAGCCCTAGGGGATGGTAGGCCCAGGCTAGTTACTTGGCGACCCGACACCCGTGACCAGGCTGATGGTCACCGCACAATCTGTCAAAGGTGCACGGCCATCACAGCGCGGCAAATGGGCCAAATGATCATCGAGAGCAGCCAGTGCCATGCCGGGATGAGCCACCTGAGTGGTCCAGTCATGGCTTCATTGTCCATGGGTGGTGATGGATGGGTATCGGTCCCAGGTCTGTCGATAGGTGGTATAAGCATCCATCCACACATAGGCGGCTCTAATGTATAGATACAATTTGGCCCAAAACTATATACATGTGACGTGCCCTGCTGTCTTAGTCTCAGCCAGTTTTCCTGAATGTTTTGTCCCACCTATCCAACCTTCATCAAGCATAATCTACACAGGACTGCGTTTGGTCTTTTGGGGCAAACAAATTGGCAATGATTGGCATTATAATAGGGTACTTTTGGACGTAATCCTATCTCACACCAGGATGCGTGTATACAAATAAACACAGCAACCGTGTCTTACCCAAACCTCCTTTTGATGTGCATTGGAGCCATTGAAAACCCATGGGTCTGCAAAAAAGGCTATCCTTTTGCTGCGTGGCGCATGCCTCGCTGTCGGTTTTTTGCTGTAAGTCGGGAGTGGTCCAATCCAAGACTCCAAGGACATACTTCCATCCAGAACGCTCTGCCTTGGTGAAGGCAGTTGAACAACAGAGGGTGGAAAGCGAACCAACGCAAAAGGTTAGACCTCTTCAGGTATCAACCCCATCTTCCATAGCCACTCATATCTGTCGTCTTTGTTGAAGAAATCACCCTTCAAGACTCTTCTCTCAAGAGTATGTCGAAGTGGGGTTGTAGTCTGGGCGCAACACCATTGTGTTTGACACAAGAAAGGAATACATCCCGCATCATATGCATTGCTCCATATGGTAACATATTATATGGTAACACATGGGAGTGAACCACCTAAGCACGTTGGAGCACACCCGTGGGAAAGACGGGCTGGCAAGCAACTAAATTTGGGACCACAGCACTGGGCAAACATTGATGTCCCCCTCTACATGTGCGATGTTAAGAAGTTTGCCACCCCTTCCAATGCTGACATGACCACCGAATATGCTTTTCGATCTATTAACAATAAGCATTCCCAGCACCTGAGTCTCTTTTGTTTGGATCACCCAAAAATGCACCCAAAGCACCCCAATAGTAGGGTCTCTTTCATTGAAAACGGTGTCAAATGGATTCTAGGGTGCCAGGACCCTCCAAGGGGTGTCTATTTATAGCCCCTTAGCTGTGATTCGGGTGTCCATTAACCACCCAGCTCCTGGGGGTCCTGGTGAGTTCCATGCCATTTTATGTCCATTTCGCACCAAGATACCCATCCGGAGTCAAGAAGAGTGCCTCCGTGGACTGTGGGCCCAACTTCAAGGTGCCCTCCTGTGCGACGTGACACGCTTCTTCGTCTCGAGCCCCCAAGCACCCAACCACTGACCGACCTCGGGGAGGAGCTGAAGGTGAAGTGACATAGCTGGGCTTGGTAATTGAGTCCCGTTTGGGCGTTTTTGTCGCACCTTCGTTTTGGTTCGATGGGACTGGGATGGGGTGCCAGCCAGTCGGGTCTGTCGGGTCCAGTCATACCGAACCTGAAGAGGTTTGACTGGAGCCCAAACACCACATGAATCCAAAGGACGAAGTCCGAACTCCCAGCACCTTGCTCATCCACGGATACCGGCCCCCCCCCAATGACCGAGCTGGATCCGAGTGGCAAAGCGGATGCCATCCAGGGCCTTAGATGGTCGATCGTGGTCGGGTATACGTTGGGTCCATCGACGTGCACGTTGGGTCCACGCGTCGCGAGTGTGGAACCCGGGAAGGAATCCAACATCTTCCCCAGGTGGCCCAGGTTGGAGGAGTTGTGTGTGTGTGTGTGTGTGTGTTTTTTCTTAAGACACCCTAAATTAGATTGCTAAGCTAAAATCCAGCATTTCGGCCAGTGATCTAGAGAAAGAAACACCCCATTGGGAAAGTGTTAGACTCGAATCGTAAACTCTACCCTAGGGCTACTGGCCCACATCCTCAGAAGCTATAGACCCCACTTTAGACCTTTTGGCACCCACCCCAACCACTTTCTGAGGACGTGGGCCAGGAGCCTTATAGGGAGATATAAGCAAACGGTGGGCATGGCGATGTTTCCGTACAACCAGTTGCCTGCCTTGGAATCGAGGGGATAAAGGATGCCAAACTGCTGCCAAGCAGGGCATGTTGTAGGATGTACTAAAATGCCTCATTGAACCAAGCAGCCTTCTCGAAGTACCTTAGTTTTGCAGAAACATGCAGAAAGCAAATCACAAATGCAATCTTGCACTAGGGAACAGTTGAGAAAAGAAACAGCTGGCATATGCTGGCATGACTCAATCTTCCTCGGATGTCGCCACTGCCAGTCCATTCCAATGTCAAGTCAGCAGAGTTAAACTCATGCTGAGACCGAAAGGCCAGTTCTGCCACGTGCTGCTCATACGTTGGGTCATGAGACTCTCAATGCTTGATTAGAGAAGAAACCCGGCCTGTAAAGCACGGGTCTGCGACTGCCAGCTCTGTTTCTATCACATCATCCTCAAACCCCAGTTTGCACCTTCAAGGATAGGTTAGGAGCACCATGTGTAGGCCACGTCTCGTATATTCGTAGGTGAAAGGAGCCTACAGCGACCCCCGGTCAGGGGGATTGCCATGTCGACCCCCAAAACATTGCTAAAATTGTAGTGTCGGTTTGAAACCAGACCCTTGCCCTTGCCTATTGCATCTAGCTGTCCCCCAGCAATGTGCAGTGTCTTGGTAGAACTTCCATTTTTCTTCATCTTTTTCCTGCCGAAACCGCGCCGTGTCTCAGCAAACCCTGCCGATGCCAGCGGTGTCTTGACAGCTGTCGACTCGGACCCCACAGCGACCCCGACCGCTCCGCTCGGTCGACCTCATCCGCATCGGTCGAGACGCTTCTCGAAGCTGATGGCCGCAGGAGTGAGGCCTCCAGGTTCCAGGTGAGCATCCCACCGGGTGGAGATGAGGAAACGAGAACACCAGGTCACTGGTAGACAGGTCACAAGAGCTGAAGAAGGAGGGCACAAAAAGACAAGCCTATAGACGCATGATCTGTTGGAGGTACTGATAGACAGTTGTATAATCAAACCCTGCATGCACATGCAGTTGCTTTGTACCACGTTTTACCATTGAAATGGCGGGGGTGATTCATCAAACGGTCTGCATCAAAAGATATGATGACATTTATCTCATCAGTCTGCGACTTTCAAAATCCATTGGAATAAAATGTAATCATATTCATGTACGCCTTATATCGCCTTATTAAGCTCATGGTGGTTAACATTTTAGTGTCTAATTGAAAAGGATGGCTCTACAAAACAAGGGTTTTTGCCACCGGTGTTCTCTTTGAAGGCTCCTTGAAACCTATCATCTACATCTGCCGCCACAACGTTTTTGCTGGCTCTTCTGTGGCAAAAAAGAACCATTTTTTAAGCAGTGGATTCTCTATTCCAAAACAAGCCTCTACCGCGAGAGGCGTCGTTCCAAGAGATTACGCACCGGGCATTCTGAATTTCTTGCTGCCACAGTAAACTCATCCTGGCACCCTCCGTCCACTGTCCGGTCAAAAAGAACTCTGCTCCGGGGCGATCTCCGCTCTGGCGCGAGCGAGATCGGGCCGTTGCCTCCGGGGAAGCAAAGGTCGTTCCGCATGTCTCCTTCTTGCCGCACCGGGCGGTTCGCTCGCACGTGCCTCATCGGACAGAGGGACTGAAAGAACGCGCTAGCCGACCCACTAAATGGATGCTCATCCATAAGGAAACATCTTGTTCGATGAACCCTTACTAAAGTCAAGCAACAAACAGCCAATTCTACATGGCTGCCAATACCTCGGTGACTAACTGCTGTATATATATATATATACACAAGTTGTTTTTTGGCTTCCAACCTCAACACACGACGTGAGCATCCACACATTTGCTGGAACAATCTGGAACATTTTCTTCTACTATGCCCAATCAAAAAACGTACAAACCTTGACCGGTTGGGTCGCCACGCACATGTATG